CCTTCCTTCCTTCCTTCCTTCCTTCCTTATTTTGCCTCTCTAGGCAAACATTCTACTACTTGTACCACATCCCCAGTCCCTAAATACACTAAAAAATTAATTTTTCTTTTGTCTATTTTCCACTTCAAATTCAGTTCCAAAAGGACAGAAAGTTTTATCTCATTTATTATTTATGTATTTATTTATTGCCAGTCCTGGGCCTTGAACTGGGTACTGTGCTTGAGCTTCTTTTGCTCAAGGCTAGCACTCTATCACTTGAGCCACAGTGCCATTTCCAGCTTTTTCTGTGTATGTGGTACTGAGGGATCGAACCCAGGGCTTCATGCATGCCAGGCAAGCACTCTACCACTAAGCCACTTGTCTCTTTTCTGAAAGAGGGCTGGGGGGGGGAGGGGGAATGTAGTTCAGTTGTAGAGCATTTGCTGAGTTTGCATTAGGCCTTCTCTTCTATCCTTGGCAAAATAAAAAGTAAAAAATAATTAAATGAAATAAAATAACTGAGATAAACATTAAGTAGTGTGATAAACATTATTAATAATAAAATGCTAGTACAAAATTGAGAACTTACAACATGCCAGGCTTTAACACATATTACCCATTAAAGATGCATATTATTATCTATTATTACTTACTTTGCTTCTTGCCAAATAAAGCAAGGCTTAGAGAATTTAAATAATTTTCCCAAGAACACACCCCTAATAAATGTACTAAAAATAAGCTCTGGGTTTATTTACTACTGAAATTCAGCCCTAGGCTGAGTTTCTCCAACTGTAAAAACTAAATGTAAAATAAGATTCAAGGTGGGAGGGACTTGGGGAAAAAAAAACTTTTCAAAAAGGTACTTGTAAAAATCTTTTTCCCCAAAGCAGTGAATATTTTAATCTCTTCTCCTCTTTATTAGTTATCTTACCTTTTTTCTATAAACTTTTCCATTTCTTTCCTTAACTACCATTCACCTCTAACAAGAGAAAGCTGAGTAATGCTATGATTTCACTAAAGAGAAAAAAAAACTACATCTTCAAAAATCTTTTCTCAGTTGTCAGGGAAAAGACAAGAACAGAGTCCTCACCCACATTGTAAAGGAAAGCCATGATTAGAGCAGGGGGAAAAGTAAAGAATGCTTTATTCATAATTACCTAAGACTTTCCAGCATGAGAGGGGAAAAAGGAAGTCTATTTTCAGTAACAGTGCTTACTGTGAAAATATTAACATGCGAGGGGAAAATTTTCATTCTGCGAGTTACGACTGTGCTGCGGTCTCTTTGCCTCGCTGTGACTTACAATTCCGAGTGGAGGTAATCTAGGCAGAAGCGCTTGCCCTGTGAACATTGGCCTCATCCAAGCCCCATCCAATCATGGGAGTTGAAGTAAGGACACACTGGAAGGGTTTTCAGCACTAGGTCAGCCTCTAAGAAGTATCAAATGGCAGAATGAATACTTATAGTCTCAAGCCTTGGGAATGAGGGCAGAGATTAGAACTACACGGTTTTTTAGAAGATCTGTTGTGCCGAATGCATAAACAAAATTGGATGAAGCCGAGAGTGACAAAAAGAAAAAAAAAATCCCAATGATTCATGTTTATTCCGTCTAACTTTTGTTTCTTTTTTGTAGTACACCTATCACTTCTTAGCTGGTTCATAGTACAGGCAAAGGTGTATATATGGCAGAATTCATTCTAATTGTCATCACCATGAGTATTACATGTACATAAATGAAAATAGTCTCATAATTAGCAGGTAAGTGGTATTCAGAGCAAATGAGTCTTCATTAATATCAGTTTTAAAAACTACCTGGATTATGTATTTTCAGAAAGTTGTATGAGGGCTGGGAAGGTGGCTCAGTGGTAGAGTGCTTGCCTACCATACATGAAGCCCTGGGTTCGATTCCTCAGCACCACATACACAGAAAAAGCCAGAAGTGGCACCATGGCTCAAGTGGTAGAGTGCTAGCCTTGAGTAAAAGAAGCTTAGGAGCAGTGCCCAGCCCCTGACTTCAAGCCCCAGGACTGACAAAAAGAAAAAAGAAAAAAAAAGTTGTATGAAACGTTATATAGACTCTCCCAAACTGCCATTCTAGCCAGGCACCATTGGTTCACACCTGTAATCCTAGCTACTAAAGAAGCTGGTTCAAAGCCAGTGTGGGCAGGAAAGTCCTTGAGACTCTTATCTCCAATAAACCACCAGAAAACTGGAAGTGGCGCTGTAGCTCAAGTGGTAGAGTGCTAGCCTTGAGCTGAAGAGCTGAGCGACAGCGTCCAGTCCCAGAGTTCAAGCCCCTCAACCAACAAAAACAAACAAACAAAAAACTGTCATTCTATACTCCAAAGCCAAATTGTCATGAAACCTGGTTGCCTGGTCTAAGCTACAACGCTTCCTGTCAGATAAGCCACTAAACTTATTTGGTCCTTAATGAGATTGAGGCAAATAGACTGGAAGTGATTTTAAAACTATACAGAGAGCCAGGCACCAGTAGCTTATTCCAGTAATGCTAGCTACTGAGGAGGCTGAGATCTGAGGATCACAGTGTAAAGTCAGCCTGGGCAGACAACTCACAGAGACTCTTATCTCCAATTAACAAGCAAAAAAACAGGAAGTGGAAGTGTGACATGGTTCAAATAGTAGAAAACCAAACTAGAGCAGAAACAGATATGTAAGAGCTCCAGGTTCTGAGATCAAGTGCCAGTACCTCTCCCCAAAAGAAAAACTGTACACAGAAATACAGTGACAATTATTATAGAGATTACTTTTCTCTATGCTTGCAGTTATATTTGAATGCTCCTTATTTTGTTAAAAAAAAGTCATAGGCATTAAGAATGTGATGAAAACCTTCCTTTCATCTAAAAAATCCAGATAGACATAAAAGTCAGCACACAAAGAAATCAGAATTCTTGGGGTTGGAGGTGTAGCTCAGGTCATAGAGTGGCAGCAAGTATCAGATACTGAGTTCAAGTCTCAGTCTCAAATCAAAACAAGAAACAACAACAGACAACAGAATTCATTTATCTTAAAACCTAGTCCTTGTATCCTAAATTTAGATAATACAGGTAGTAGGGAGAGAAACAAAGAGTTGAAGGTTGGGAGAGAGATTACCCATTCAACTGGAAAGATACTTATATTGCAACACCAGCATCTGTGGTTCCAATGCCTTACCAGCAGCTCTGTTCTTCCTCACTGCTCCTCCTGGATCATGTCCTATTGGCTGAGAATGGACCCATCTCCTGCTTCCGAGTGTGCAGGCTCAACAGGAGCAAGGGTACATGGATAATCCTGGGAGGTTTGCTGCGGAAAGTCTGCCAGCCTGGAAAAGACAGAGTCTGTCAGTGTGCAGCAAGGACCAACACATCCCATACACTTGTGCCAAAAGATACGATGACTAGTTCAAAAGAGGTCAGATGTCAAGTGATTTTTTTTCTCTTTCTTGCTATTGTTTCTAATGTACCATGTGAATTTTTTTGTTTCTTTGTATGTTCCTCCCCCATGGTATAACCCCTGTTTTCACTGTATTTGATGTTGGCGCCCTGCATCTTGTATATACACTTCTCTAGCTTGGGGAGGGGAAGGGAAAAAACAAAATGTTGAAATAGGGATACAGGTTGACCCACTGTAACAATGAGATGTACAAGACGCTATGTTGAAAATGAACTTTACAATTGAGGTGAGGAGGAGGGGAAGGGGGAGTGTAGTTGTGGAGGTGGGAGGGAAGGGAGGGACCAGAACTAAATAAACCAGAACTAGGACCAGAACTAAATAAACAAATTCATACATTAATTAATTAATTAAGGTCAGAGGATCTTTTCTCAAAGGAATGACAATCTTAAATGCACCTATAATAATATCATCTAATAGATGGAGAGAAATTTTTAATGCCCAGAGCATCTCTGTCCCTCACATCATTATGGCAATTATAACTAGGCTTGGGAACCATTGGCTTATTTTATTTCTTCTGTGGAAAGCCATGGTCTTTAGCCTAAGTGATCATAGTATTACATGATGTAAAGCTGAGACCTTTTATCTGGAGATTCTGATTTGCTGGGATCATATGAAGCCTCATTTTCCAGGTGATTGTATAGCGACACTGTGGTTGAAAATCATTAGTTCAAACCCTGGAATGTTTAATCTTTTAACCCATACAACTTTGTTGTAACATTTTTAGTTCCCAACAGTCATTTATTAGGTTTCAATTTTTTCAAATTCTTACCAATACTTGCTATCTTTACCTTTTTTAATTGGATTCATTTTGGTAAGTGAGAAATGGTTGAAGGTTTAGATATTATAAATAACCATATACAAAATAATGTCTTATTGTCCATATGCAAAGTGGCTAATCAAAGTTCATGAGACTTTTATATCCAATTAACTACCAAAAACCCAGAAGTAGACTTGTGGTTCAAGCTTTAAGTAGAAAAGGCTAAGGGACAAAGACCTGGTCCTGGGTTCATTAAAAAAAAAAAAAATATATATATATATATAGAATACAGGGGCTGGGAATGTGACTCAGTGGTAGAGTGTTTGCCTAGCATGCATGAAGCCCTGGGTTCAATACCTCAGTACCACATACACAGAAAAGGCCAGAAGTAGCACTGTGGCTCAAGTGGTAGAGTGCTAGCCTTGAGCAAAAGAAACTCAGGGACAGTGCCCAGGACCTGAGTTCAAGCCCCAGGACTGGCAAAAAGAGAAAGAAAAAGAAAAAAAATTCATGTTGACTCACACACTAGGGAATATTTTTTAAGAAAATTAATTCAAAGCAATATTATCCAGCTTATTCACTGAATTTTCCCTTCCTTGACTGGATAGATTGGGAGTTAAAGGGATCTCTAAGAAACCCATCTGGAGGCTGGGCACTGGTAGCTGAAGCCTGTAATCCTAGCTACTCAGGAGGCTGAGATTTAAGGATCACAGTTCAAAGCCAGCCCAGGCAGGAATATCCTTGAGACTCTTATCTCCAATAAACCACCAGAAAACTGCAAGTGGTTCTATGGCTCAAGTGGTAGAGCATTAGCCTTCAGCTGAAGAGCTGAGGGACAGAGCCCTGGCCCACAGTTCTAGTCCCGCAACTGACAAAAAGAAAAACGAAAAAGAAACCCACCCATCTCAGGACAAGCATGAAGGATAACTGCTAAAGGGAAGGGTTAAGATAAGAGCCATTATTGGGAGAAGTTTTGAGAATGGAAATCTGTGAGCAAATTTAAATGTCCCTTTTAGGGGTTGGGAAGGTGGCTCAGTGGTAGAGCGCATGCCTTGCGTGCATGAGGCCCTGGGTTTGATTCCTCAGCACCACATAAGCAAAAAGAAAAAAACCAGAAGTTGCGCTGTGGCTCAAGTGCTAGAGCAATAGCCTTGAGCTGAAGAGCTGAGGGACAGTGCCCAGGCCCAGAGTTCAGGCCCCACAACCAGACCTCCCCCCCCCAAAAAAAAAAGTAGCTTTCAAACAAACACATAAACATTTTTTGAAACTGAATGATCGAAACTACAAGAAATTGTAATCTTTCTGAGTTAGTACTGTTCCTAGAGATGTTTTTCCCTTTTAAGTGGAATCTCCTATAATTTTATCTTCATTAACTATTCACTGTTTTTAAGAGGTAGTATCTAGCTTCATGCCAGGGGCTCATGTCTATAATCCTAGCTACTCAGGGGACTGAAAGCTGAGGTTGCAGCCCAAAATCAGCCCAGGCAGGAAAATCCAGGAGACTTTCATCTCTCATTAACCACCAAAAAGCCAAACACGGAGATGAGGCTCAAGTGGTAGACCACTAGCCTTGAGTGAAAAGGTGCAAAGAGAGCACCCTGGCCCTGCGTTCATGTCCTAGGACTGGTACACTTGCACACATACACACATACAAGGGAGTATCTACCCAGGCTTGGCAGTACATGTCTGTAATCCCAGTTTTCAAGAATCTAAGTAAGGGAGGGGTCATGAGTTTTAAGCTAGCTTGGGCTATAGCAAAATCCATCTCAAAAGAACCCACCAAAAGCCAGGCACTGTTGGCTCAGGCCTGTAATCCTTGCTACTCAGGAGGCTGAGATCTGAGGGTCCCGGTTCAAA